GCCGACTAGCTTATACATGGCCTCCATTCATCTATGTTTGAAAATGAGACTGAATACTAGATGTATTTTTAAAGTCTTATTTTAAGCCGCAAAGTGTACTTCACTCAGGCATTCAGAGGCAATTTACTGCACACCCATGCCAAGTGTACCTATGCCGAGCAATAAATGATAGCAACATCCTCATAGACTGTAACGTAATTCGCAAAATGTTGATCGATAATCTTATGGCACGATGCCAATGGTTCATATTAACTTTGAAGATTGTTCCGTTGCGCACCAAAACAACCTCCAACAAAACAAATAAGCTTACAATTGCTTGTAAGCTTTTAGACTAAGCTCGGAGGATTTGGAGTACGTTTCTCTTTATGAAGCAAATCCTCATGCACTTTTTGCTTAGTAACCTTGAAAATTATGCAAATTAAAACAATAAATCTAAAAAATAACTTATTTGCCTTTTACATTTCAGAAATGAAAAAATTATGTTTTAATTACTATTTTAGCAATGAAAATTATTTAAATTTGTCAATAAAATTTCTTATTCATTCTCTCTAAAAAAGAAAACAAAGGTGTATATAAATTTCGCGAGAGCCATAAAGCGTCAAGAGTTGTCGCTTGTAATTTACGCTCTAAAACACCTACTCAAATTAGACTCTAGAATTAGGTTAATGACCAGGCTGAGTGGGAAAATTTTCCTGTAAGCTACTTCAAAGAGAACAGCAAAGAAGCAACGATAGGTTCTAATTTATCCTGGTCTGGCCATCAGCTGACTTTATTTGACTTCAAAGCAGCTAGAAAGTCAGGGAAAGTTTTTATTGGATGTCTGGTCAGCCGCCAGATGATAAGACCTCATTCCAAAGAGCAAAGGCCGCAGGACAGTCAGCAAAGAACTACAAAAGTTTTTGAATTTCGTCAGTAAAATATTGTGAGAATAATGTTCTCGAAGGAGGAGATATCTCCATCAATAATTACGAGCGTTTGGTCTTGAAACGTAGAAGAATTTAAAAGGGATCTATGGGAAATGAATTGAAAAGACAATGTTCAAATGAAATTTCAAATTAAAAAAATGGCAGAGCTATAATCTCGATTAGAAAAAATCAAATAGTGTCAATGGATATTCTTGCTTAATTCTAAAAAATGAAATGAATTCGGTGTTGTTGTGACGAGAGTGAAAGAAGAGGCATGTTTAACACGTTGACTGCGATTGCTTCATCTTTTATTATTATTTCATTTTTTGGTACTATTTTGAAAATTAGGTACCAATACGTCCTGGAGAAATACGCTTCGTGGTACGCAGATGTACCACTTAGGAGTCAACGTGTTAAATGCTGATAGCACTCACTACTAATCTTCATTTTTATAAGTAAACACCGTCCAATTAACGACGTTTACTTGCATTGGCTAACGTTAAACTCTACGAACGTCAATCAGCTTGCAAGAACAATGGAGTCAATCTGCAGATGCCTCACCCTAGGCCAGTCACAGAGCGAGTATGATAAAAAATTTTCTTAGCTATATAATGCGTTTCAGTTCTCACAAATATTTTTAATTACAATGTATCTTCAGCTACAAATTCCTAAAATTCATTCCATTTCGTTCGTCGTAGCTTTTTTTTGAAAGACCGCATGAAAAATGTTGAAGAGCGTTATAGTATCTATAAACATTCCGTTTTACATCCCACCATTTTATATTATGCATAGCATTTCTTTATCGTTTAAACCGTAGGTGGTCTTGCGATGCTCTGCGCCCGCATATCAACTCGGTCTGATAGCTCTACTCTCAGGTATTCTGAATATTTATAGTTACTTGGAGAAAAATATTTTTTTTTTACCATCATTGGGTGTAGCATATTGCAACGCCTACTAGCTTTCGGAACTCTTAATATATCTAATCCTTCCATAGTTCTTTGAAGATGTCATCAGTAGGTGGTCTCTCCTTTGGATATTAGGTGGTCTTACTTGCAGGGACTCACATATTTTTCTTGGACAATGTCATATGTATGTGATTCTTTGTTGAGCAGTCCAACTAAGAGCTGTTAGCAGGGCGCCCTGAGTCTATTATTGTATTGTTCACTGCAGTGGTGGCGCGCTCTTCTATATTTGTGAGAGGCGTAATGGGCATCAAAAAAGATGCTGGGAAACAGACGTCGTCGTCACGTGGTTTGGATTAGACTTGAACGCTGTTCGTGCGTCGCCTGTATCGCTGCTGCAGACATCGTTGGAATATTTAAAACTCGAGCGACATGACTGATGCAGGTATTGAAACCTCAGATACAACAGAAAAAAAACCGTAAAGCTTGAATTCTTGCAAATTTTATGCACCTGTCAATATAATATAGTCGGTCTGGTCACGAATGATCTGCTAGCATCGAGGGAATTTCTGATCTTGACGCTTGACCATCAATAAGCGATGATTGAGTGCGGATTGTCCGAAGATAGATTTTGAATAAGTCATAAATAAATCACAAATCCTTCAGGAATTGATTTCCTGCTGCCTCAGCTGGAAGAATAAGGCCACAAACAAATAAATTGAGCTTTAGGTTTGACATTTCCGATAAAAAAATTAACAAGAACGGTCATCTCAAGTTTATACTGGCCGATAAGGGATAAATTATGAGTCCCATAATCAAGGGCCCGTAATTATTCAATGTACAAAGTTTATTCATTTAAAAATCTTTTCCCTATAGTAGGTTAAGTTTTTACCAAGTAATTATATCTTCACTGTTATCATATTATGTGTTGGTTTTTCTAGCATGAACGCCGGCGGTGACGATATTAAACGGATAGTCTTTTTTACTTTTTTTTTAGTTTCAAGCATCAACCAAATTTCTAGTGACGGAAGGAAAAATCTGTCGTGTGGAAATTTCAAATTATATCGAAGAGGACGTCAGACCTGTCTTCTCACTACGTTTTTCAATGAATGCATAACAATACAAATGACACACGCATTCATCAGGAAATAAATTATCAATATAAACAAGTGTATTGTTCGCATGTTATTATCGAGAACTTGTCCACGACATCGACTCTTGAGAACACGCCACTAACGACGGAAGCGTTTCTGGATCGCTGCATTCAGTTGACAACAGAAGCAGTGTTAATAAAAAGAAGGATGATATTGAAATGTAAAACAAGCGACTTAGAATAGTGAATTACAAATTAGACTCCTGGAGTTATTTTCATTCGCGAATTGGCTTCATAAATTCCAGCTCGCTCGCCATCTTATAGCGAAATTCAAGCCTTGATCAATGTTAGGGGTGAGTTAGTATAAACAGAATTTCGATTACAAACTTCATGTATTTTTGTGCAAAATTCCACCGCGGTGTAGGTATTGGATTCAGAGATCGATTCGAAATGCTCTGTTCGAAATTATTTACTGCATCAGTGTGTAAATACTTATAAAATAAATTATTGATAGTTATTTTGTATGGAAATTGATATATTTATTATGTTTAAAGCTACAAGCTTTAGTTGATCTTCAATTACCTTGAATAACGTTCGGTGTTTGTCACGGGTAAAATCTTTTTGATTTTAAAATAAAAATAGCGGTGATCAAACGAAGCAAAACTGCATTTCGAGGAATGATTAGTCGCTGGTCAGTGTCAGTAATCCCCTTGTGTTAAGCGCATCGTGAGAGAAATGTTTCCTTGTAAATGGACATTTTTGTGAACTATACGTGACTCATCCACGAGGAGCATTTAGGAAATGTGACTCACAAGTTTAAATGTACAATTTACATTGTATTCAATTGTTTAAATGTACAATGTACATTGTATTTTCAATTCATTCTAGACTGGATTTTGATTTTAGCTTCGAATTTGCCAATGACGTGAGCAATTCGCGCCAAAATTTAGACTATAATTATGTAATTCTTATCATTGTATTCATTTAAAAAAAATGTATACCTTTGCATGGTTTTCATAATCCCAATGAAATGATAATAGTTACGTAGCTTCTAAAGTTATTTTCGGGGAATTTAAGCTCGACCGTTGTGAATGAATATATGTGCACGAGTAACTCATGAACAAATAACGCATTAAAATACTTGTACATAGCGACTGAATTAAGCAGGAAAATTTTCCCCAGAATTAAAATTGTCGTAAGTTTGGAAGCCAAACATCACAAAAAATGACGACTTCCGCTTGCATTTGTGTGCTACATACGAGCGCCTTAACCAGATCATTGACATCAATCGCCGTCGCAGCGGTCGAGCGCCAGAGGCCTAATAAGTCACGTCTCTCATCACCGAGCATTAATTTTGTTCTCAAATGATTTCTAGAACTTGTCTTATGACGCACTCCGTGATCACCGACCATTCATTTCGATTGAATCTTCAAGCAGCTTAGCGTAAGCATTGTCAAGAGCACACATGCAGTTGTTGGCAGAGGTGGGCAGTAGCGCGCTACATGTAGCGGCGCTTCATTTAAGCAATTGTAGCGGTAGCGGTAGCGTCCGCTACATTTAGAGCATGTAGCGGTAGCGGCCGCTACATTTCAAAGTAACTCTGCCCAGCTTTGGTTGTTGGTATCAAAGATTTAAATTTGGACTGAAGATAAAAATTATATACTCGGCGCAACTAGTGTCTGCATCGAAATGTGTATCACCGGGGATACCGATGCGGATGTAGGTCGCAGGGATACCTTCAAGCTTGAGTTGATTTTTTCTGTCGATAACTCATGGTTACCTAACCCAAAATATACCGGTTAATATTTGTTTCTGTTAGTTTTGGCTATTGTCACAAATCTAAGCAGCAGAAATGAGGTACTCGAAACAATTCTGCAGTTACAGTTATTAAGTTACTTCACGACATTTAAACATTCAGAATACGTAACAGATAGTCTTTCAATGCGCAGCAAAAAGTGTCTTGTAAGGCCATGCTAATAGATTAATCAAAAAATAAAAACATCATAATATAGTTTTATCAAATTAATATAGAAATTTATTTATTTTAAACCGCATTTCATATTAATGCTCAATGGCTTCAAAGAGTAATTCAATTCCTACCTCAAGTAACCGTTGTCTTCAGGTAAAGCACTTTTATCAACCCAAAAAATCACAAATTAAACGGGCTATACCGCAGTTAATGAAATAAAAGGAGTATCTTAGAACAGAAGCACAGATTATATGGGACTTGCTCTCAAGCGCTGCTATCGCTACGAATCAGAAAATCCGACTGGTGACTCCTCAGAGTTCTAAGCCCTAGTGGGGTCTGTGCCAAATTTCTGTGCCCAGCAAGTGCTAAGCTCGCATTAAAACAGAGTCAGGAAATTTCTTAGTTGTCCGTCATGAAGAAAACAAATGACTATTGCCCCCACGTCTCCTCTCGCCCCCGCTCCTCGCAGCCACCAGTGATGCTGCGTCGTGAAATTTTCCGTTGCTGTTAAATAACTGACGTTCGTGACTTGCTTATATTCCTCTAGAAAAGTCAATTAGTAGAATACAACTTCTCCGTATTTTGTCGACTGAATTCGCTCAACGCATGAGTTGAATCTTTTCTCTGAATGTCATGCCGAAGTTTAGAAATTGGATGGCGGAGATGTTGGGTTTCGCTTACGTCAAGTAAAAGTGATGTCATCTGTTCTTGTTATTTTAAATTTATACTTTAAGTCACTACAGCATGGATCTTTCTTATATTATATTGGCATTAGAGAGAAGCAAGTCTTGCTGTTTCACCCTAAAATTTGCAGTTTAATGTTGTTCTTCTTAACTAATATTGTATACTAGAAAACGGCAAATAGAATCCACAGCTGTTTTTGACCTCACTAGTATGTCAGAAAATTAATTTAAATGATAAATTTCATGAAACAAAATATTACATACTAAAGTCTTTGTGGGTATGATATGGATACTATTCTAGAACGCATAACGAATTTTCATAGACACTACTCGTGTTTCTTCCCAGCGATCAACAGATGCGAAACAAATATAGGCCGGAGATATTTTATAATGATTACTAAAATGATGATAAAATGTTAAAATTGAAATAAAATAATAGAACTTATGAAATTGAAATATGATTTGGGAGTTAGTATAGTATAGTATCTTCGGCAAGTTTCCAAGTTTTGCTAGAATTATCGGAAAATTTCACGATCAATTTTGTTATTGTGATTTAAATCTTTCCGAGATATTAAAAAAATATAACTCAGTACTCACTGCAGTGAGTGACAGAGAGCGCATTTTCTCGTCGACGAAAACTTGATTTCACGGACGGACAGATAGACAGACAGACGGACATGGCGAGCGCAATAGTGCATTTTTTCCATAAATGAGAAAATGCGCTAAAAATACTAAAACTCAAATTACTCTATGATCTGTAAAATCGTAGAAGTAAAAAATGAATTAAAGTAACACATAAAAAATTATACCATATAAAATTATAACCGTTGGAGTTTAACAGGAACAATATATTTAATGTGTTAATAAAACTCAAATTACTCTATGATCTGTAAAATCGTAGAAGTAAAAAATGAATTAAAGTAACACATAAAAAATTATACAATATAAAATTATAACCGTTGGAGTTTAACAGGAACAATATATTTGATGTGTTAATTCTTACAATATTTCCATTGGATTTTAATTATAACTACACAACTATGTTATCGCAGTTGTGAAAAAAACTTTCGTATATATTTATATATGAACGAGAATACGCAATTTTTGATGTGTGTTTATTGTCCTAGATACACATGACCTCATGTAATGTGTAAACAAACATAATTCGTGCAAAGCCCTAATGGGTTCTAACAGTTGAGGCAAGAGGTTCCTTGTGCTAAGCTCCCGTGACAGTAGCCGGCTTCGGCCGGCTGCTACGTCATCCTTTCTCGAACTTTGAAAATGCCGTACTGTCCCGCTCCGAGGCGTTGAGCCGGCGGATGCCATGGTACGACCAGCTAAAGTGAAGTTTAACTCCTGAAGTTCTGCTCCTCTGAAGTTGCCAAATTCGTTATTTTTGTGCTCCCCTGAAGTTGCCAAATTTCGTTACAAAAATTTTAAGATGCCTCCATGTGTGGTTAGTACCCCCGGGTTCGTGGTTAGTGCCCCCAGGTGAGTGG